GAGTACTCCCACGAGTTTGATCCCCCGCAACGACGATTTTTAATCTTCATTTGAATTCGAAAGTCGGTAGTGGTGAACCGTATGGTTTGGGTTTGTTCCCCAACAACGTAATTCGGGATTGGATTCCTTTTTCTCTCGTGTGCTAACAAATAATATATTTTCCACAGTTCGATGTTATACAGTAGTGAGTATTCTCGCTTGTCACTCGAGAGACCTGAGTTTGAACCCCGACAATAATAAACTTAATTTTCTTTTGACAATTTTCACCAGATTCGAAATTGGATTACTTATTCCAAATCTTCAATTGATAAAATCTAGAGCATTGACAATGGATCACTTTTTCTAAAGACGATTGGTAAAATCTGGAGAATTAACAAATAATTTATTATTTATGAGTTGTTGTAGTGGTACAGTGGGGAGTATTACCGCTTGTCACTCTAGTTATTATGTTCCAGAGGTCGTTGTAATACAAGGGTTAGAATTCCTGCTTGTCACTCGAGTGACCTGAGTTTGATCCCGAACTATAACAAGTTTAATCTTATTTTGACAATTTTAGTCGTATTCAAAATTGGATTACTTTTTGTAACAGCCATTGATAAAATCTAGTGTGTTGACGAATATTATATTTTTCGAATGTCTTCGTTGAAGAGAGGTGAGTACTCCCGCGAGTTTGATCCCCCGCAACGACGATTTTTAATCTTCATTTGAATTCAAAAGTCGGTAGTGGTGAACCGGATGATTTGGGTTTGTTCCCCAACAACAAATTTCGGGATAGGATTCCTTTTACTCTCGTGTGTTAACAAATAATATATTTTTCAGAGTTCTATGCAATACAGTAGTGAGTATTCCCTTTTGTCACTCGAGAGACCTGAGTTTGAACCCCAACAATACTATGCAATACAGTAGTGAGTATTCCCTTTTGTCACTCGAGAGACCTGAGTTTGAACCCCAACAATAATAAACTTAATTTTCTTTTGACAATTTTTACCGGATTCGAAATTGGATTACTTGTTCCAAATCTTCGATTGATAAATTCAAGAGCATTGACAATGGATCACTTTTTCTAAAGACGATTGGTAAAATCTGGAGAATTAACAAATAATTTATTATTTATGAGTTGTTGTAGTGGTACAGTGGGGAGTATTTCCGCTTGTCACTCTAGTTATTATGTTCCAGAGGTCGTTGTAATACAAGGGTTAGCAATCCTGCTTGTCACTCGAGTGACCTAAGTTTGATTCCAAACAATAACAAGTTTAGTCTTGTTTTGACAATTTTAGTGGGATTCAAAATTGGATTACTTTTTGTAACGGCAATTGATAAAATCATGTGTTTTGACGAATATTACATTTTTCGATACTCGTCGTTGAAGAGAGGTGAGTACTCTCACGAGTTTGATCCTGTGCAACGACGATTTTTAATTTTCTTTTGAATTCGAAATTCGATAGTGGTGAACCGGATGATTTAGATTTGTTCCCCAACAACGAAATTTGGGATTGGATTCCTTTTTCTCTCGTTTGTTAACAAATAATATATTTTTCAGAGGTCGATGTAATACAGTAGTGAGTATTCCCGCTTGTCACTCGAGAGACCTGAGTTTAAAACCCGACAATAATAAGCTAGATTTTCTTTTGACAATTTTCACTGGGTTCGAAATTGTATTACTTGTTCCGAATCTTCGATTGATAAAATCTAGAGCGTTGACAATGGATCACTTGTTCTAAAGACAATTGGTTAAATTTGGTGCGTTCACAAATAATTTATTTTTTATGAGTCGTTGTAGTGGTAAAGTGGGGAGTATTTTCGCTTGTCACTAGAGTTATTATGTTGCAGAGGTCGTTGTAATACAAGGGTGAGCATTCCTACCTGTCACTCGAGTGACTTGAGTCTGATCCCGAACAATAACAAGTTTAATCTTTTTTTGACAATTTTATTCGGATTCAAAATTGGATTACTTTTTGTAACGGCGATTGATAAAATCTGGTGTGTTGACGAATATTATATTTTTCGAAAGTCGTCATTGAAGAGAGGTTAGTACTCCCACGAGTTTTATCCCCTGCAACGACGATTTTAAATTTAGTGGTGAATCGGATGTTTTAGATTTGTTCCCCAACAACGAAATTCGGGATTGAATTCCTTTTTCTCTCGTTTGTTAACAAATAATATATTTTTCAGAGGTCGATATAACACAGTAGTGAGTATTCCCGCTTGTCACTCGAGAGACCTAAGTTTGAACCCCGACAATAATAAGCTTAATTTTCTTTTTGACAATTTTCACCGGATTCGAAATTGAATTACTATTTTCGAATCTTCGATTGATAAAATCTAGAGCGTTGACAAATAATTTATTTTTTATGAGTCGTTGTAGTGGTACAGTGGGGAGTATTTCCGCTTGTCACTCGAGTTATTATGTTCTAGAGGTCATAATACAAGGGTGAGCATTCCTGCCTATCACTCGAGTGACCTGAGTTTGATCCCGAACAATAACAAGTTTAATCTTGTTTTGACTATTTTAGTCGTATTCAAAATTGGATTACTGTTTGTTACGTCGATTGATAAAATCTGGTTTGTTATTAAATATTATATTTTTCGAAAGTTATCGTTGTAAATTGGTGAGTATTCCTGCGAGTTTGATCTCCTGGAGCGACGATTTTTAATTTTCTTTTGAATTCAAAATTTGGTAGTGGTGAACCGGATGATTTGGGTTTGTTCCCCAACAACGAAAATCGGGACTGGATTCTTTTTTCTCTCGTGTGTTAACAAATAATATATTTTTCAGTGGTCGATGTAATACAGTAGTGAGTATTCTCGCTTGTTACTCAAGAGACCAGAGTTTGAACCCCAACAATAATAAGTTTAATTTTCTTTTGACAATTTTCACCGTATTTGAAATTGGATAACGTGTTCCGAATCTTTGATTGATAAAATCTAGAGCGTTCACAATGGATAAATTTTTCTAAAGACAATTGGTAAAATCTGGAGCGTTAACAAATAATTTATTTTTTATGAGTCGTTGTAGTATATTGGTGAGTATTTCTGCCTATTGTCACAATCGCACTTTTAATGGCAACAGACTTTTGATTGTGCGGCAGCCAATTCGTTCTTGCGTCGTCTACGGCTAAGCGATGTATGCTCGAGCCTCTGGCCTCGGTTTTAGAAAGTGAGGGCAGAGATAGATTTTTTTAAGAGACGTTATATAAGCAAGCAAGAGAGAAATAACAACGACTTACCGTATATAATCTTGGGCAGGGGGAAGTTGAAAACTAGTCGTATCCTCCTATAGTACATTATGAGGCATTTCATGTCTGACTGGCCTAGACATGATATTTCTGAAACGTCATACTTTCTAGAAATATAAAAGTAAAACACTAGAATATGAAAAGACATGAAGGGTTGAGTTTTTCATGGGCATGCGGCCATGGGCAACTTGCCTTGGACAGAAATATAATAGTAAAACACAAGAATATGAAAAGACATGATGGGTTGGGTTTGTCATTGGCATGCGGCCATGGGCAACATGCCTTGGACTAGCATGACCGTGACATCCTCCCTCACCTAATTGGTTGACGTCCCTGTCAACCGACTACTTTCAAACCTTGCGATGTGGGTGGCGGCAGAGTCTACATTTTCAGCTCGTTCCCAGCTGGTTTCCTACATAGGGAGATTCTTCCATTTGACAAGAAATTTGCAAATCGTCCGTACAGGTCTTCCTATCTTCCTAACTCTGTCGGCTAGGATCTTCTCTATTTCTTTGTTGTCTCTTTGTTTCAGATCGATGCTCGGTCTCGGAATTACATTTAGCTGGTCCTCGTCCGGGTCTGGGTGATAGGGCTTCAAGTTGCTCACATGAATTACTGGGTGATATTTCATCCATGTGGGTAGCGCAACTCTGTAAGAGGTAGCCCCGATCTTTTTAAGGACTTCAACCGGGCATTCATATTTTCGAACTAGTCTCTGGTCCTTTTGACTGCGAAATCTTATCTGTTTTGGTCTCAACTTGATGAGGACTTGATCTCCTGCTCGAAATTGGAGGGGGCGACGCTTCTTGTCCGCCCACTTCATATGCTTGGAAGCTTTCTTTAAATATGTCCGAGATATATTTGTTGTCTGCTTCCATTCTCTTGTGAAGTTTTGAGCATGAGGGTTTTTTCCTGCATAAGAAGAATCAATAATATGAGGCGAAGGTGATTATAGTTCACTTACAATTTAAAAGGGACTCTTCCCCTTAGACGAGCTCGTTTGACAATCGAAATAGAATTGAGCGACATCTAGTAGTTTTATTCAGGTCTTCTAGCGAGCGTCGAGGAAGTGACGTAAGTATTCTTTGAGCAAGCAGTTGAACCATTCCGTCTGTCCATCGGTTTGAGGGTGATAGCTCGATGAGATGTTTAAAGTCGTTCCCAAGAAGGCAAATAATTTGGTCCAGATGGTGCCAATGAATCTACCATCCCTTTCATTGATGACGCTCGACGAAATGCCCCATAACTTGACAACGTGTTTGAAAAATAGTTGGGCTGTTAGTTCAGCAGAGCATAATTTTGGAGTGGGGACGAACGTCGCATATTTTGAGAACCGGTCTACGATAACCAAGATGGCGTCATATTCCCCGATTTTTGGGAGGTGTGTTATGAAGTCCAGAGATACACTTTCCCAAGGCCTTGTTGGCACAGGTAGAGGTTCCAAGAGTCCCGAGACTTTGGCTTTCTCAACTTTGTCTTGTTGGCAGATGAGGCACGTCTTGGTGTACTGCATGATGTTGTCCCGCATATTCGGCCAGAAGTACCTCTTTTTTATTAGGGCATATGTTCTTTGCCACCCAAGGTGTCTGGCCCATAAGATATCATGATATTCCTGAATGAGCTTCTTTCTCAGTTCACCCGTTCTTGGGACGTATAATCTATTTCCTTTAGTCATTAGAAGGTCTCCCTCGACCCAAAATTGTCGTGTCTTCCCAGCTTTAGCTAGCTTGACAACGACTTTGGCTGATGGGTCTCTGTGTAAATGTTCTTTGATGATGTCGCGCATCGATCCATCGATCTTACTTGAATGAATATGGGCTAACATGCACAAGGCCGCATGTTCACCCTTCCGACTCAGCGCATCGGCTGCTTGATTACTCTTCCCTACCTTGTATTCGAATTTGAAGTCGAATTCTGCCAGCGACTCTTGCCACCGGGCTTGTTTTTCCGTCAATTTTGGTTTATCGAAGAAGTGGCAGATAGCGCTGTTATCCGTCTTCACCATGAACTGTGATCCCAAGAGATACTATCTCCAGACTCATAGGCAATGGACTATAGCCAGCATTTCTTTTTCGGAGACAGTGTATCTCCATTCGGCATCATTAAACTTTCGACTTTCATAAACGATGGGGTGGACTTCTGGAATAAGGACACAACCTAGGGCAAAGTCGGAAGCATCTGTTTCTATTTCAAATGGCTTTATAACATCTACTAACCCGAGGACAGGACCCCTCGTCATGGTTGCCTTCAGATCTTCAAAGGTCATTTGACATTTATTTCACCACGACCAAGGGTGGACTTTCTTGTGGAGCTCTGTTAAGGGGGCGGCTCGTCGTGAAAACCCTTCGACGAACTGCCTATAGTAGTTTGCTAATCCTAAGAAGGACCGCACATCAGATATGGAAGTAGGGACTTTACACTCTTCGATAGCTTTCATCTTATCACTATCCATCTCGATCTGTCCACAACTGATGATATGTCAGAGGAAGTTGATGCATGTTTGTGCATAGGCACATTTTTCTTTCTTGACGTACAACTGATTCTACCACAGCTTGTCAAATATCAGCTTCAAGTGCAACTTGTGTTTCTCTAGGGTTGTGCTATATACAACTATGTCGTCGAGGTATACTATGACGAACTGACCGTAGCTGGGGCGTTTGTCAAGCCAAAGGGCATTTTCAGGAACACAAAGGCTCCATATCTTGTCACAAATGTCGTTTTGGACTCGTCCCCCTCGGCGATACGTACTTGGTAGTACCCTGATCGTAAGTCCAACTTCGTGAAGTATTTGGCCCCATGAAGAGTGATACCAAATGATATGAACCAAAAAACATCAATCATACAATATACTTCAATGACGTTGTGAAGAAAAAGTTGTCAAAATTATCAAAAGATGTTTCAATGCATGCCACATTGAAGAAGAGTGAAGCTTGATTGTTATAAATTTTGGGTGGGTTACAATTTAGAGTTTTTAGGACTTTTTATTTACTTTAGGTTACAATTACATAATGGTTAATTATGACCATTAAGTATGAATGTTACAATTCTTGGAATGCCTAGTAGTTTCATTTTGAGGCTATATAAAGCCATGTATGTTGTATTTGTAAGAGACTTGGAAAATGTAGTAAAAGAAGCATTTGTGCTCTTCTTTAGCCAATGGCTAAGTTTAGGTTGCATATAGAATCATTCAAGCTCGACATGATCAATCTTGCTTGTGGAGTGATTCGAATCTCAAACAAGTGTTTGAGATATTTGATCAACAAGAATCATTCAAGCTAGACATGATCGATCTTGCTTGTGGAGTGATTCAAATCTCAAACAATGTTCTTGCCTTGAGATATTCGATCAACAAGGTAATCCAAATCTTACTCCCTTTGTAGCGGTTCCTTAACTTATCCTTTGGTATCAGAGCTTCAAGCTCAAGCTCGGATATATGTTTCCTTTGCATTTTTTTTTCTCAATTTGATTTTTATTTATTTTTATATTTTTAGTTTTTAATCGACCCAGAGTTTAAAATTCAATCTTTTCTCTATATCAAATTTTGAGAGGTGAGAACGAGAGCTTCATTTGTGTAACTGAGTGTAAAAAGAGTGGCCTAAAATTCCTTCAGTGTATACTCGTGAGAGAGTGTTGTGAGGTCCATCGTATTTCCATAACTTATTTTTTGGAGCAATGTTTCACAAATAGATTCGAGGACGAATCCTCTTGAAGTAGTGGAGAATGATATGAACCAAAAAACATCAATCATACAATATACTTCAATGACGATGTGAAGAAAAAGTTGTCAAAATTATCAAAAGATGTTTCAATGCATTCCACATTGAAGAAGAGTGAAGTTTGACTCATATAAATTTTGGGTGGGTTACAATTTAGAATTTTTAGTTCTTTTTATTTACTTTAGGGTACAATTATATAATGGTTAATTATGACCATTAAGTATGAATGTTACAACTCTTGCAATGACTAGTAGTTTCATTTTGAGTCTATATAAAGCCATGTATGTTGTATTTGTAAGAGACTTGGAAAAGGTAGTAAAAGAAGCATTTGTACTCTTCTTTAGCCAATGGCTAAGTTTCTTTGCAATTCTATATAGCGTAGGTTGCATATAGAATCATTCAAGCTCGACATGATCAATCTTGCTTGTGGGTGATTAGAATCTCAAACAAGTGTTTGAGATATTTGATCAACAAGAATCATTCAAGCTAGACATGATCGATCTTGCTTGTGGAGTGATTCGAATCTCAAACAATGTTCTTGCCTTGAGATATTCGATCAACAAGGTAATCCGAATCTTACTCCCCTTGAAGTGGTTCCATATCTTATCATTTGGTATCAGAGCTTAAGGCTCAAGATCGGATATATGTTTCCTTTGCATTTCTTTTCAATTTGTTTTTATCTTTTTAGTTTTTAATCGACCCAAAATAAAGAAAATCAAATCTGGGCTCTACTAGAAAATTTGAGAGGTGAGGATGAGAGATTCATTTGTGTAAATGAGTGCAAACAGAGTGGCCTAAAATTCCTTGAGTGTATACACGTGAGAGAGTGTTATGAGGTCCTTTGTATTTCCATAACTTATTTTTTGCAGCAAAGTTTCACAAATAGATTCGAGGACGAATCCTCTTGAAGAAGTGGAGAATGATATGAACCAAAAGACATCAATCATACAATATACTTCAATGAAGATGTGAAGAAAAGGTTGTCAAAATTATCAAAAGATGTTTCAATTCATGCCACATTGAAGAAGAATGAAGTTTGATTGTTATAAATTTTGGGTGGGTTACAATTTAGAGTTATTGTATTTCATTTATGTATTTTAAGACTTTATTTACTATAGGTTACAATTACATAATGGTTAATTATGGCCATTAAGTATGAATGTTACAACTCTTGGAATGACTTTAGTAGTTTCATTTTGAGGCTATATAAAGCCATGTATGTTGTATGTGTAAGAGACTTGAAAAATATAGTAAAAGAAGCATTTGTGCTCTTCTTTAGCCAATGGCTAAGTTTCTTTGCAATTCTATGTAGTTTAGGTTGCATGTAGAATCATTCAAGCTCGACATGATCAATCTTGCTTGTGGAGTGATTCGAATCTCAAGCAAGTGTTCTTGCCTTGAGATATTTGATCAACAAGAATCATTCAAGCTAGACATGATCGATCTTGCTTGTGGAGTGATTCGAATCTCAAACAATGTTCTTGCCTTGAGATATTCGATCAACAAGGTAATCCGAATCTTACTCCCCTTGAAGTGGTTCCATATCTTATCATTTGGTATCAGAGCTTAAGGCTCAAGATCGGATATATGTTTCCTTTGCATTTCTTTTCAATTTGTTTTTATCTTTTTAGTTTTTAATCGACCCAAAATAAAGAAAATCAAATCTGGGCTCTACTAGAAAATTTGAGAGGTGAGGATGAGAGATTCATTTGTGTAAATGAGTGCAAACAGAGTGGCCTAAAATTCCTTGAGTGTATACACGTGAGAGAGTGTTATGAGGTCCTTTGTATTTCCATAACTTATTTTTTGCAGCAAAGTTTCACAAATAGATTCGAGGACGAATCCTCTTGAAGAAGTGGAGAATGATATGAACCAAAAGACATCAATCATACAATATACTTCAATGAAGATGTGAAGAAAAGGTTGTCAAAATTATCAAAAGATGTTTCAATTCATGCCACATTGAAGAAGAATGAAGTTTGATTGTTATAAATTTTGGGTGGGTTACAATTTAGAGTTATTGTATTTCATTTATGTATTTTAAGACTTTATTTACTATAGGTTACAATTACATAATGGTTAATTATGGCCATTAAGTATGAATGTTACAACTCTTGGAATGACTTTAGTAGTTTCATTTTGAGGCTATATAAAGCCATGTATGTTGTATGTGTAAGAGACTTGAAAAATATAGTAAAAGAAGCATTTGTGCTCTTCTTTAGCCAATGGCTAAGTTTCTTTGCAATTCTATGTAGTTTAGGTTGCATGTAGAATCATTCAAGCTCGACATGATCAATCTTGCTTGTGGAGTGATTCGAATCTCAAGCAAGTGTTCTTGCCTTGAGATATTTGATCAACAAGAATCATTCAAGCTAGACATGATCGATCTTGCTTGTGGAGTGATTCGAATCTCAAACAATGTTCTTGCCTTGAGATATTCGATCAACAAGGTAATCCGAATCTTACTCCCCTTGAAGTGGTTCCATATCTTATCATTTGGTATCAGAGCTTAAGGCTCAAGATCGGATATATGTTTCCTTTGCATTTCTTTTCAATTTGTTTTTATCTTTTTAGTTTTTAATCGACCCAAAATAAAGAAAATCAAATCTGGGCTCTACTAGAAAATTTGAGAGGTGAGGATGAGAGATTCATTTGTGTAAATGAGTGCAAACAGAGTGGCCTAAAATTCCTTGAGTGTATACACGTGAGAGAGTGTTATGAGGTCCTTTGTATTTCCATAACTTATTTTTTGCAGCAAAGTTTCACAAATAGATTCGAGGACGAATCCTCTTGAAGAAGTGGAGAATGATATGAACCAAAAGACATCAATCATACAATATACTTCAATGAAGATGTGAAGAAAAGGTTGTCAAAATTATCAAAAGATGTTTCAATTCATGCCACATTGAAGAAGAATGAAGTTTGATTGTTATAAATTTTGGGTGGGTTACAATTTAGAGTTATTGTATTTCATTTATGTATTTTAAGACTTTATTTACTATAGGTTACAATTACATAATGGTTAATTATGGCCATTAAGTATGAATGTTACAACTCTTGGAATGACTTTAGTAGTTTCATTTTGAGGCTATATAAAGCCATGTATGTTGTATGTGTAAGAGACTTGAAAAATATAGTAAAAGAAGCATTTGTGCTCTTCTTTAGCCAATGGCTAAGTTTCTTTGCAATTCTATGTAGTTTAGGTTGCATGTAGAATCATTCAAGCTCGACATGATCAATCTTGCTTGTGGAGTGATTCGAATCTCAAGCAAGTGTTCTTGCCTTGAGA